TGGTAGCATGCTATTTCCAATATTTTGATGAAAAAACATATGGTTGAACTACTGAACTGTATGATGTTATGTGGATTATATACCAATAAAACTATTTTAAAAAATCATAAAGTAAATTTTATTTAAAAGCATTAGTTCAATATGTAACCAGTAAATAACATTTCTATACTATAATGTTTTTTGGGCTTTTTGGTGGCTCTCAACAATATTATGTTTAAAAAAAAAGAAGGGGAAAGAAAACACCCCAAAACTCCCCCACACAGGGGCCATAATGTTTTTTAAGTCACAGTTCCATCTGCTTTATTTATATCATTCAGCTAATCTAAATTGTAATTCATTCATCAGTGTACATGAGTAAACAAACCCTATAGTTAACAAAATGAATGCATGCATGCCTGCCTTTATTTCCATATGTCAAAAGCAGATTTACAATCTCTCATTTCTGTTTAGAACTAGCCTTGTGGTTAGAACTCTTAAGAGTCTATTGTTATTGTCTCTATTGATGCTCAGTTAGTATTTAGGGGTCCGGTGAGTGTAGGGGAAGGCTGGGCTAAAATGAATCTCTGAATTTTATATTAGTGTTGGATCCCTGATCCCTACAGTGATGGGACACGAGGGTTCAGTGCAACAAGGTTTCTTTTCCCAGGCTTCTCTGGGCACAAGCAGCAACATGGCTGCTATTCTGTTTCACTGCTGAGCCAGTTGGCAGAAGGAAGCTCTGAAAAGGTTTGGTCTTCTAAGGGGTGTTCCCTTTGCAGTTCAGCTGTTTGTCTTTCGTCCTGATGGAACAAAACTCTGTTGACTGAGGAATGGGTTCATCGCCTAATTTCTTGCTTAATCATCTCTCAGTCTCCACTTTCTTTCTCAGTTGGTTTATTATACAGCCTTCCAGGCTGGAGGTAATAAGGTGTCTTTAAGTATATGTAGCACATTGACTCTCTGACACAAATGTAGTTGATCGGGGGAGGGGTGGGTAATAGGGCCCTGGCAAACTGCAGCACAGAAGGTTTAAGTACAGAAAAAACTGCAGCACAGAAGGTTTAAGTACATGACCAAGTGTGTCTGGCTGGTAAGATCTGAGTCCCTGAGGTCTGATGCCAGAGCTGAAAGCTTTTAGCTGCCGCGCTGCACTGATGGCTTGTTCCCTGCAGACACAGTGTCATTTCAGAGAGTGGCAAAGGATGTAGAACCAGGGAGAGGTCGCTGAAGTTTTGACAGAAGCACAGGCGAAGAACAGCTAATTTTAACACTGTCCACTATTATACCTAATTCAGTTTATTGGGTTGTATGTAGAATAAAACAAATAAATAAAAGCCAAGCTGTACAGGGGATAAGGAAGTAGCACTTGGTTGACTTTGAGGTGGCTGATATTGCTACTGGTGCTAAAGCTCTACGAAGTGTTAGAAGCCAACACAAGTCTTCCAATGAAATATCCACAGGGATGGGCAATGACAATGGTTCTTTCCATAACTATGCAGTCTAAGGAAACGTACATGTGTTACTCTTAGCCATCCTGCAAAGTGTGGAATGGATTCCATACTCTTCACCTGCAGTAGCACATGGGACAAATTATATAGTGCACGTGAGGACAATGTGAAGATTCTATACCAAAGAAACCCAAACCCATAAGCATTTAGTAGGTCTCGACGCATAGTGGACAGAGTAGAACTACCCCTTTGGGTTTTGAGGCTGTAAATCTTTATAGGAGTGGAAAACCTGATCTTTCTCCTAAGGAGTACCTGGTGGTTTCAAACTGCTGACCTTGAGGCTTGCAGTCCAAATGGTAACCCACTATGCCCACTATCAGGGATCCTTGTGTCTGATTGCTTCTTTTAGCACGTAATACAGATTAATTACCTAATTAAAATGTATTCCTGAAGTAGTTTCATCTTACCACGCGTGACCATAAAATTTCAAGTTATTCATGCTGATGCCTTAAAATCCTCCCCCTGCCTTCGAAAGGCCACCTCTTGCAAGAACTCTTCCTCCCCATGGACTGACTGCATGCTGTTCATATTTTGAACACGGGCTTAATTAGTAGTTTGTGCAGTCATCTCTCCCACAAGACTGAGTCCCTGATAACAAGAGCTCTGTCCAGTGAAAGTTTGCATTTCCCAGAATAGAGCCGAATGTATACATAAGAACTATTGTAGAAAGACTACAATTAAGATGATAGACATTAGGTCTTTCATATCTTTAGTTTACCCAAATATGGTGACCTGGTATAGGAGGCATTCATATTGTTAAACAAATCGATTAAATATCAAATATTTAAAGCAACCACCATATAGTCACTGCCTGTGAGTAGAGTCAGACTGAAAAGGAACCCTAGACCCTCCCTCTAACAATGGATGTGTGTTACCTCTGCAGGTACATTTCTGCTTCCTGCGTGGCGACCACTGTCTTCATGAGGATGCACATTAAGAGCTATGCCAACAGGATGGGTAATTAGAGTCATTGTTGAGGAAAAATTCATACTCTGACATCACTGGAAGAATGTGAAAGGCAAACAATCACAGGGGAGAATGTTTTCATGACCTGTCATCAATAGTATCAGGCAGGAAGTGGGAGTTAAGTTCATGTGGCTCCATGGATTCTAGGGCAGAAATGACTGGTACTCATTGCATCGTGGGAAGCACCAGGATATTGCTGACCACTCAAAATGGTGTTCCCTTCAGAGATTGCAGACATGTGCTTCTGACCACTAGTGGGTTGGTCGTGTGCAGTGACCCTTACACATTTGCTATCTATTTCGGTATCTACAGTGTTTTGCATACTGGGCTACCTTTTTTACCTACATGATTCCTCAGGGTTACAGCTTTTATAATTCTATAAATATTTGAACTGGAGAGTGAAATATAATATCCATAAGGAGAAAACTAAGTTAAACTATTTGGTATCTCTTCTGAGATGGAGATTATATATACATAGCGTATTATCAAACATATACCCAGACATGTACACATAAATACCAAGGCATACATACATATACATTTTTTGTAGCTGTATTCCTTTTTATATGCTTAATTTTGTGGTTAGTTGTTTTGACTTCCATATTTTTTTGAGAGAAGATTTTAGAAGTTTTCCACTATTAGTTTCACATTTACTTTTCCAGCTTGAAGTCCCTCAAGCCACTAGAGCTCTCCAAATGCTATTATCTTTATAGATAAGAGCGATAATAATTTCAGTGTCTGAGCTATTTCAAAGATTCCACATTCTTGAAATGAATTTGTACTCAGATGCTTCATAAAATAACTCAGTGGTCACTTTTGTGTTTCAAACTGGAAGTCCTCGGACGCACCAAACAAAAACACACAAAACAACTCACTGCCCTCCAGTCAATTCTGACTCAGAGCGGCCTCGTTAGCCCGCGAGGAGTGTGCAAATCTTGCCATACACACACACACACACACACACACACACACACACACACACACACGAGTAGCACTTTCGTTGCTCTTTTATTGTTCATGGTTAAAAAGATATATTTATGAGATTATGAAAAACTAGTTCCCGAATTGCTCGCTCTCTTTTCCCAGAGAGAGATTCAACACAAACAAGGACTCAACTGAACTCATCAGATAATAACCCTTCCTGGCCAGAAGCAACACTCTCCTCTACGCTTAAGGGATGTGCCAACCCCATGTGAACCAGCACCCTAGGACAACGCTGTTTACCTAGAATGCTCCTCCTACATCTTCATTCGCTCTATGGACAATTACAATGTGCAATTTCTAGCAAAAGAAATCTAACGCTGTGTTAAATTGTTGGAAAAAGAAAAGTAAGCCTTTTTTTCCCAGGCCCTTTCTTGATTTTCACGTCTCTATCTTTGATACTCAGGTCCTCTGAGGTACATTATGGGTTTTTAACCAGAAATAGCACTGCTGCTGTACTTATACACAATGGTCAGGGAAGCCAATGAAAATACATCCTGGTGCTAAAATCTCCGTGTCCAGTGTTGAAGTCAATAACCCCTTCCCTTCTGCCAAAGTCAGAGATCCCAACTGAAGCACTCATGGACACAAGTCAAAAATACCGCTGTGACAATCAACTTTTCTAGAAGGGGATTGCTCTTGTCCCCTGATGGCAACAGTAACTGCTTACTCCACTCTACACCGTCCAAGGGAGTTCCTCACATACTGTACTGGTATCTGATATCAGGGACTCCTGCAGAGGGCTGGAAATGAATCCGCAGGTGCAGATAGCATTTATATTCACACTGTGTGGGAATTCAGCAATTTCAGTCACCAACACACATTGTTCTGTTACGTTTGTTGCAGTCAGTACGTTTTTAAAATTTGCACTTCTAACCAATGTACGATAGAGTATATTTCACCCAGTCTGCATCAGATTCAAACACAAACTTGTACAAAACACGTTATCATCTTCATCAACGCTCGATTGCGTATCTTATGAGTGTCTGTCTAATAAACCACATAAAATATTTGAACTATTAGCATTGTGATGTAAATAGGTGCTTATAACTTTAGGATCACAGCACTAGTAAGTAACAACCACTTGTGTCATTTTTTTTTTTTAACAGTGGCAAGGATCTTAAGATGTATCACACCGGTACCAGTAGGTGACTCCCATTTTTTTTCACATGTAGTTACATTTACATGTAAATTATTATCTGTGTAGATAAAAGAAATAATTAAGCTAATGTTCCTGGCTCAGAACTGAGGAAGTCTAAGCGTTACAAATAACTAGCTAGATGAAAAGTGCTTATGACTGCTAAGGTAAATGTCTTGTCTCATTTAATATGAGCTTTCCCAAAGGTCCTTTGGTATTTGCTTTATTTTTAATTCCATGCCTGCAAACCACCAGCCCACTTTAACGGTTGCAAACTCTGAAAGCATTTGGTTGATTTGAGATCGATAGTAATTGATTATGAGAGAGAAGAAAGGAGAAAAAAGAGACATCCTAATCCAAGGAGAAACTAAGTAAAGGGGGGAAAAGGAAGACCGATTCTTTGAAACGATAAAAGAGAGGTCACCTACCAGCTCTACGCGTCCGAAACCTCCAACTCCCAGGGTGTCAATGATGTTGAAATCAGACAGCTTCAGGTTGGCGAAGAAGGCAGCTTCAGCTTCATATCTGGATTTTTTGATGCGAAAAAATGGAAATTTCTTAGAGGTGCCCACACGAGTACCACGTACAAGCGCACTGGAATGACATGACCGTGGATCAGGGTTTACCTGCTTAAATTCCATCTTGCTTTTAGAGTCTGTGTTTTCTCACACACATAATGCGGTTTTATTTTTAATTTTTGGTCCCCGTGGTGCAGAACAACCTGATTTGCACGGGTTTTTGTTTTGTTTTGTTTCAAAGTCGAAAATTACCAAGTATCCGCCGCATGCGTGTCATGTGGCTGAAAACTCCAGTTACCAAATCGGTTACATGGCGGTGTTTTTCTGCGCGTCTTCTTGCGAGCACCGATTGTTGGAGCTGCGCGCTTTTGGCTGGGTTTTGGATGTTTGGGCTGGGTTGGGTTGGGCCTTGGCTGGTCAGATTTTGGAGGGCAGGTTCTCATTAGTTTCCCTTATCCACGGGTCCGCAGTCGCCCCAGTACAGATTTATTAAAAGCAGCAAGATCATTGAGGTCTCTGGAGCGAAATCCCAGCCAGGTTTTATGAAAACAGATCCGAAAAGCTGAGGGCTGATGGGCACATGTCTGAAATGGATGATTTCGGAAGCAGATTCACCCTCCTCAAAGTAGCTTCCCTTCACCTAGCGCTCCCCCCTGACTCGTAAGCCACAGCTCTCGGCTCGCAGCCCCGTGTCTGTCTGTGCAAGTTTCTTATATGAGTGGCGTGGAGAAGCATGGAGCACCATTCCACCCTGTCACTACGCAGACATGCAAATCGATACATGCAAGCGCCAGAAATAGACGTCTCCTGATGAAACGAGTGAACATGAGCTGCTTAAAATAGCCCCGCGTTCAAGGCCCGTACTATTTTTAGAAAGGGCAGGAAGGCATAAAGATGAAGATGATCCTCTCACTCCCTAACGTCAGGTCAGAGAGTAATCCAGCTGTCTCAAACAGTGAAGTATGTGAATAGCTATGTGTAACCCATGACCTTCAGCCAGGCAGGACCCCGCTCCCCACTCGACTATAGATAGAAACGGGGGGAATGATACTCACACAGCGCATTCACATCAGTTTGTGAGTCGAAACCCACAGGCATGCTTGGCTCGAGGCAGTGTGACCTCTTAACTAGTCCATTATCCTCTAACACAAATTTAGACTCCCCACTTGTGTAAAGTATGAAGCTTTCTGTGTGTGTGTGTGTTTTAAACATTCTCCAATTTTTACCCAAAGTTCTAATTTTAACAAGTCACTCACAAGCGGATAAAAAACTTTGCTTATTATTGGCTGGTGATGTGAATTCAGTTCCTTCTAATACAATCTAAATGGGCCGCTGGTTAATCCGAATGGCGTTTATAGATGTCCCTGGTAGGCTACACAACCAGGATATTGACATGGTCACTCAGGAGACAGTTTGCCAGATGGGAACATAAGCGCCACATTGCATTGCTAACATTCCCAAGGACTCGCTATTTCTGGATAATTAAACTCCATCCCACATCCAGGGCTCACTCTGACAGGTGCACCCAAAGGGCATCTGTGGTATCAGGATGTTTGACCTTTTGCATGAGGTCAAGCATTTCCTGGTCGTCTAGATGATCAAATCTTTTTTTTTAAAATGGTCCTTGGATGACGGCCTATGTACTTCCTAGACTGAAAGATATTGGAGTGTAGAAATTTCAGGTATAGAGAGGAAAAACTCTTCCAGACTACTGCTTCATAGCATCTGATATATTCAAAAGCAGGTGTTAGTATTTATAGCCCAGGAAGACATCCCAGAATTCTTACATCAGGTTTCTGAAAACTTGTGATTCTCCGACCTTTGTCATCCACCAGAAAGACTTCACTTGTGTCCCACCAAAGACTAAGTGAATTCGAAATGTCTGGAGGTGTAACTCGAGAGTGTGTGCACTTTCAAAAAGTTTACACAACGCTCACGAAGGGGTTGAGAACTACAAGCCCTAACCCTGCTGAAAGCTTTAGAAGGGTCTAGAAAGCATGTAAGCCTTTGGGGGATGGATTTTTACGGGACAGAAAGATCAGGAGTTCCCTGAGAATCGGAGAGGACCTTGTTCCTGGCTCCTCCCCCATGGTCTATAGCCGTGGAGAAGATGAATCACTCTGTAGTGGCCAACACAGCTAAAACATGAGGGTAAGCCAAAAAGAAATCATCGTTGCGAACTCATACCAGCGAAAATATCCAAGTGTGAACGTGTTGCTTCTCTATATAGCCTCCATTTAGGTCTATAGGTTTTAAAGGTGGTATTTCCACCTCTCGAACACCTCCCTGGATAATGCTGTTTTCTTCCCATCAAACTGGCAGATTTGGCGTTCTCGGGGGACTCAGATCTTGTTAGTTTGCAAGGTGTTTTGAGTTTCAGGATTCATGAGAAGACTGGAGGGACAAGATTAGGGTCGCAGGTGGTAGAGGTAAGATTTCCCAATGAATTTCTCACAGGACATCTACCCTGAAAGAATGAGGAGGTGCCCTGTTGGGATGGGGGAAAAATTCCTCGGTGTAACTTTCCTCGTCTTTTCCTCACTCATGTCGTTTTCAATGCTTTTAAAACATATTCATAATAAGCACCAAGATTTTCCTGTATCCTATATCAAGCTTACTAGTTTGGAGTCCCCCACCCCCCAGCCCCCCAAAAAACACCTAAAAAAGACCAATCATTATAACTTTCTGAGTTGAGCACGCTGCTTTGAATTGAATTGGTCTAAATCTCACCAGAAGACATTGATTTGTCAGGACATTTTTTAAGGTACTATAATAAAACTCAGACAAGTGTGTTAATGGAGGGAGCTTGTGTGTAGCGGCCTACCTATTGCTGAGAAGTGTTTAAATACATTTTGTTTGGAATAAATATGTTCAGGTCTGAACAAGAACCGACAACAATATTTTTTGACTTGCCCTCATACATCAGCTTTGCTAAAAGCTGTACGTCTGGGAAACAAAGATTACATAGTGAGCACTCTGTGTCTGTGCTCTATCAAGCATTCTCGTCCCTTTGTAAATATTATCTGGATAGTTATACTATTCTAACTAGTGGAATGGACCCCATAACTTGTATATTAATTATTAGGCATTTTCTCAACAGTCATTGCGATTCACATAAATATGGACATACAAGGTACAGTTCAACGACGTCGTGTAATTTAGCGAACACGTATGGGTAACATTGTAAATATACGTTCCTCAAATTGCAAACTACTACCAGGTTATGCTGTCTGCTTCTTCAGAGTGTGATTCTTGGGGGAGTGAAACCATTAGGAATATTAACATAGCCTTGTATTTTTGTTTTCCATTCCTACCAAAAAAATGCTAATTGCACAATAACTTACATGGGATGCATTTTCATTCTCCTTTACAAGTTTGTTTGCTTATTAGGGACAAGAGTCACACGTAGGGCAGAGAAGCATTGTAAATTTTTCATTTTTTATGGGAAATGAATTGGTAACACTTGTAAATTACCCTATGGATAATCTTTTGAAGACTATATAAGTGTGGCAAGGTGCCCTAGTAGCACAGTGGATAAAGCCCCAGCTGATAGCCAAAATGTAGGCCATTCAAATATACCAGCTACCACATGGCGGCAAAATGTGGCAGTCTGTTCCCATCAATAGTATAGCCTTGGAAACACTGGCGGGCAGTTCTACTCTGTACACCAGGGTCCCATGCCCCACATCCCTTGAGTCCAAATTAATGTTAGCACCCAACAACACCAAACCCTATCCCAAACTCATGACTCTTAGCGACTACAGGATAGAGGATCACTGTCCCTTATGGTTTGTCCAAGGATAGGAGTTTTATAGAAACGGACTGCAGAAAGGCTGGTTGGTCTAGCTGCTGACAATTCAGTACGTAGCCAAGCAATGAATCACTGTGCCACTAGGGGTCTGATGACAAAAACAGCAGGGTGGGTTCAGATACTCCAGGCAGCTAATGCTGACTTGCTGAGAGCTGGTAGGAGGAGTATTTTCATCTTTTTCCTTATTGGGGATTAATTTAAAGTAATCTCAGTTCATCAGTTATGTTCTATTTTCGTTAAGAATTGATGAAATGTTTGAATGGGAAGGAAACAGAATAAATTGCTTCAGTGCGAGGATGTGCATCATTAAGCAACCTTTGTTTTCCTGAAGGAGGTAAATATGTAATCCAAGTAGTTAATTTACTGCCTTGGGGTGCTGAGACACACAGAATCAGACCTAGCTTTATTCAGTTCCAAAATCCAAGAGCCCTTGTCACGAACTCAAGGAACTAGACATCCATTAGTAATGCATTATTTGATGTCTCATTGCCTAAAATCTCAAAGGGAATGCTTGTATTTACTATAGTTCCTAACTTACTTTGAGATACTGTTCTTTACAGTTGTTTGTTTGTGTTCTTGTTTATAGAGAGAAAGCTAAATCTTCCACCACCACCCTTACACTCCCCAAAAGCACAAATATTGACATACTTTTTGTGTTTCTAACTTCAGGGAGTCTACAACATTCTAAAATAGGTTAACAGCACAATGATATTGACAGAAGACAATGTGTGTTGTGTTGAGTAACAGAGATGGAAATGAAAATGGATTATCAAATTAATCTGAGACCACGACTCAAATTAGTGGTTCCCACGCTTCACTTGGTGATGAGTTAAAAAAACAAAATCCTTTGCTCGTGTGTATCTTCTAGCCATAGTCTCTGGAATGCCCACCAGACTACCTTTTTCGTGATGGTTTGGGGTAAGAGATGGGGAAAGGTACTGATCATGCGCTATGATTTATCCATCAGTGATTATGATCCTGCTGGATATAAAACCAGGCATCTCAGAAGCAGAAGGGAAGTAGGGGGTGCGGGGGCAGGAATCTCCCTTCTAGCAAGAGATGGGAATGGAACGCAACCTCTGGACACCGAGGTCCTTGCAGTGAACTCCTGGATCCAGGAGACAGCTGTGACTCCAGAGGAGTACACAGGAGCAGCAACAGAAACAAAACTAGGAGCCAGAGCCGGAGCCTGAGGA